TCTGCGAGTTTAGTGCAAAAGCGCATGATCGCACCGGAGAGCCTGGTGCGTTCCAGCCTGGGTTTATTTAAAATGTTATTTGTCTGTTTTATCGTCGATTGTAAAACCGGCGATGTTTTCAAAGTTCCGTTTTTTCTCAGGGTGCTTTTAATACTTTTTACGTTCCTGACGTCTGATCGCCGAAAGGCGATAACGTGTTTCTTGGACCTTATAAAAGCCCCAGTACCTTGCCTCCTGTTTTTTCTTGTTCTTCGCACTCCAGTGTTCGACCACTCATCGGCTGCCTCTCCGTGGCATCGTCTCGGCCCTCGACCTTCATATTTCAGTGCTCGACAGCTCATCGACTGCCTGTCCCTAACGCCGTCGCGGCCAACGGACTGCTTCACTACACCATCTCGACCGCTCCGCGGCTGCCTCTTAGCTATTGCATACTTCGTTCCCGGTCACGTCCAGTCTTGAACTAATCGTCTATTCGTTCTCCAGCCCAACCGGGCAACTTGAATTATTACTGAATTATTGCTACTACACGTAAATTTACTAAATAATCTATTTTTTTCGGCCTTTGCACTTCTTCCCGTCCTGGCAACAAGAAAGGCGCCAAATTACGCCACAGTAACAAATTGTGCTTCTTCCGTGATATTGGTAAATGAAAAGTCATTTCTTTTTAAGATTTCGGGGTCATTATTCAGATTACTAAGTTTACGAGAAACTCTCAAGAACACAGACAATCGATGCGGATTTATCCCTATTTTAGTGACTTTAGGGAGATGTTCCAAAACGTCAAGCGCAACTATGCCAGACCTTTTGATATGGAAAAAATTAGTTGTAAATTAAGGATTTCAAAAATGACAATATCGTATAATCTGGATATTTCAACGGCAAACGTCTTTGCGTTCGTGAAATTGCTGTTCCGCTGGAAAGCGAGTATTTGGAAAGCCGTTTTGAAGGAGCTGTTAATATGGACAATTTGTTATTTGATTGTTGCTTACTGCTATAAATCAAGCTGGCTAATGAGTGAACGAACCCGGAGGTTTATTTTACACTGATCCTGTAAAGGAAAAAACGGACAATTGGTGTGGGTATCCCGGATTGGTGACACTGCTAGAATATTTCCAAATGCGGCTATAATAATTTTTCAATCCTGAGCTGCATAGCCTCGGAGGCTATCTGAATGATCATTTACTTTCTCATAGGTACCACTCACTAATATACAATGACCACTGGTTGTCGGCAAAGATTTGATATAAATCAACACATTTTGATCGAAAAGTATTGTTTTCTCCGCACTGATCCGTCGTAGTTGCAGTATGTTTGAACGAACAGCGATGTATTTCGGGAATTATTTGAATGATAATAATTTGATGTTTATCCTGGGCTTCTTTCTAACATGTGTGGCCACCCGCTGGGATGTTTTGCTCCGGAACATTGGCTTCATCGAAAGGTACCCTTTAAAGAACTCCAATCCTCTCTCGAGTTCAGTAACCTAAAAAAAATTTGCAGCTTGGCGCTCTTCGTAAGTGCATGTGTGCGAGGTGAAGACGATGAATCTCGAATGTATCGACGGACGATTGTTAGGCACGCTTGTCTGGCGCAATGCCTGGTACTCCGTGATATCAGTGTGCGTGTTCGGCGACGTTTTCCCACAATGGAGAGTTTGATTGATGCTGGTAATCAGTGGTTTTAATAATCATTTGAAATGTGCTAGTTAATTGAGATCTAGTAATCTGAATTCTCTAGCAAATAAGTGAGAGAGCTCCAATAGGCAGGCAGACTAAACCCCCAACCTCATGGATACTATTATATACAATGTATTACTTATGTATATATATTAAAAAAAACCTTGGTAGTAATAAAAGCATCTTGATCGCCATCGCTTGATTTTCAGAAGATAATCTTTCCAGGTTTCCTCACAAAGAAAGAACTGGACAAATTTAACTCTTACAAAACGTCGTACGATAAATTCTGGGTACCAATTAGTTGGTCACTAACGAATGTGATGAATGCCCGACGAACTGAAAAAGTACGAAACGATATGGAAGCGAATGCGCTCGCTGATGCACGTATTACTTATTCTGATATTTTTCACAAGCAACTAGCTTATTAATTTTTCAAACTGGCTATCCTATGATACCTCAATAATTCAGGTCGATAGCCAAGTTAGGGAGCTAAAAATCTTATATTCATAATACCAAAGAGAAGCAAAGGCCTGAAAAGTGCTGATGACTAGCATCGCGTATAAACTTTTAGCTTCATGTTTGAACTCAATTTATTGCTACCAAGCTGACAAAACTCGTCTTCGGTAAGGTACTCACCATGATCCAGGAGTGAAATAACACCATCGCCTTTTCTTCCGAGAAATACTGGACAGTCTACAGACGATCTGGGATTTCAAAAGGGGCAATGCAACATTGATCAAAGCAACTATATCTCAAAACAGTGAAAACCTTCCCAGGTTGGCTTCTTCCTGGTAAAACTGTCACGCTCATAACCACCTCAGGAAGTGAAACTAGCTTTAGGACCGCTATAGGTTCTCCATCAAGCGATGCAGCACTAGACGCTGAAAAAACGCGCTATGAAATAACGGCTGCTCCGTGTACTATAGGCATGATTTCAATGGGAAACAGCTAAAAAATAGTCTTAGAGTAGCAGAGTAACACTTTGGCATGCATTCACATTATGGTGACAAGAGCTATTAAAAGAGTGAAATGTTATTCAACTGGCTACTCCGGTTCTAAGGCCATGAGTCAGCTGGCTTGCCAAAACTGTCTCAACAGTCAGTAAAGGTATCCCATGTGAGCGACATTACTAGAATGCTAATACACACATATATACTTTGGACCTGAGCTTACGTCTTTGTATTTCAAGCTTACTTTTTGTGTGACAGTTAGGAGGCTGCACTGACGATTCCCGTCCCTACTAGCATGCTCTGCTCTGTCTGTACCTAAAGCTAAAGGCGAGAAACACACACTACTAAATACGCCTATCATTATAATAATGTGTAGAATGATCCCTAACCATCAATCCCAATAATTAATCATCTCTTGTTAATGTAGCGTTTGTTTATGCAAATTATTTTTTAGCAGCTGAAAGAGTTTAAAGCGTGCCTACAAACACTGACAAATTATGACTGGGTACCGCTGCCTCTTGTCTATCCACAGGTAATCATATTTTTCACTCCAAAAATCCGGATTTTTAGGCAAAACAACTTGAAATAAACTGAGAATAATGAAAGTTAGTTATGAGCTAAAGCCGCGAAGACTTTTGAAAATATAATATTTACTTTACGCCATCAAAAACTGAGACTTTCCAGATGCTAACAATATCGGTATATCTATATTTCGCAGTATGCCTCTTCGCGCGACAACACTTCTTGTCCGGAGTCAACAGCGAGAATGTATTTTGTATAATTTATTACATTTATGTAGTTCTGCTTTTCATCCTATCCATAAACTTGTCATTTTTTCTATTCCTTAATTTACTTTTAATCACTTCTGTCCTTACTGTATTTTCATTCACTTCTTTCTACTTATACATACTTATACTCTGATCAGCTACCATTCATAGCATGGTTCTTCAGAACCGCTCAACTTGCAACACTTTTTCAGTTGCTTTGACTAATGCTGCATCGTCTGGCAGTGCGTCTTTTGGCGTTCATTTCATCGCCTGAAGCGATTACTAATACAATTTCGAAGTGTCCTTTCTGTGTGTTGAGTATCACCAGTATCTCTCAAACGTTGCATTTCTAAATCACGTCGCTGTAGCTTGTGCAATATCTTTATAAAGCACTGGAAATCTGAAGTACTGCTAATCCTTCTAAAACTTGTTAAGCCCACTCGAGACATGTCCACCAAGTTGGAGACTAAGTTGACTTTAACGGGTAGTCCAGAAAGGAAAGAAGCGGTAGTCCCGTGCATTGAGTGACTTTTTTATGCGTTTTTGCTGTGCAGCGCTATAGCGCTGCTACAGCCAGCAAAAACGTATATTGTCGA